ATATATATATATATATATATATATATATATATATATATATATACACTTTTTTTCTTTCTTTCTATGGAAATAGATTTTACAGTATAAATCTTTATGTCATCTGGCATTATGTCCGGTAGTGATGATCTTTCTATCTTACTTATTTAACCCCTGTTTGGAATAAATTTTTGAGAATATACTATACAAAAAATGATTTTAAAGAAAATGTTTGGTTAAAGCAGGAAAAAATTTAAGATTTAGATGCAAAATTGTTTTGTTACGAGAATTTGCGATTAAAAATGATTTGAGCAAATATTAAATTTTTGAAAATGAGGTCCTAATGAGGGAAGAGCGGAAACCAATCATGGAAGGAAGTTGAATGAAATTCATTATTAGGTGAGTCTATATTTTTCAAATGTTACATTTCATGAGATATGAAAATGACATGTAACCTTGTGGCAGGCACCGAGTTTCAGAGTAGAAATTTAATTCTCTTTTCAAAAATAAAAATAATTATATACATAGATGCATATATTTTGTATTATTATTATTATTATTATTATTATTATTATTATTATTATTATTATTATTATTATTTGTGTGGTGTTAACTAATTAACTAACTAACTAAATAGTTTGGATATCAAGACCACTTCCTTTGCATAATCGATGCGATGGAATCTTGTTGTCTTGACTATTTCCTTCTCAATTTCTTTCTTCCAAAGCCTGTTTGGAAGTGGTTTTTTTTTTATCATCTACATAATAGAGCCCTTATTTGATCCTATTGTTTTCAAAATATATTCTTTTCTCTTCTTTTTAATCACACATTTTTCAATTAAATAATATCATGCAAGCCTAAAACATTTTCTTATTTTTTAATTATACATTCTTCATCAATATACTATTCCAAAAGCATTCTTAGCCAAAAAAGAGACTCAAACATATGTTGAATTTCATGTAGTTCTTCACCACTCATTACTAGACATTAAATGCATATGTAATATTGTGTGCATGCAAGGAAGCCTATCAAATGGTACTTCTAATTTATATAATATGTCACGCATTTTCTATAATGTGATTTATACCACAAGTGTAAAGTATCAAGTTTTGTATGATGGAATTAGAGTGTCAAATTCACAGGGATTGTAACTTAATTTTATATTAAGTACTATAATTGTATAGCTCTTATTTTATTTACATGAATAAAATTTGGAATCAATGGTTTTAAATAAGTTAATAAGATAAATGTGGAAACAAACTCAACAATTAATTGCAAGTTAAAAGAATAGTCAAGATGAGAAAGTTTAGGGTTGTGATTTCACCTAACAATCAAATATGATTCTCAATAATGTCACGCATTATTTCTAATTAATTTTCCAAAGTCTATAACCAAGAACTCAATTGTGTCTCTATCCCCTCCCTCAAGTGTCGGCTACAAATTAATCATAGATTTTAATTGCAATATCTCTATTCCTAATTAAAATCAAGAATTTATCAAGTTTGTGGTTCTTTTATGAATGAGCTTCGTAGATTTTATGATCACGCTTAAATTTCCCTCCATTGAGTGCCAAAATTGACTAATATCCATCGATTCAATTAGTGCCAATTAACCGAAAGATTTAAATCATAACATAAATAAACAGAATGAAAAATTTCATAAGAATAACTAAAAGAAATTCAAATCATACTTTAAGTTTTGGCTAACTAAACCAGAGAAGAATTATTTAGTTCATGATAAGAAGCATGAAATTTATACAATTCAAAATAAACAACATAAAGAAGAGAATAGGAAAAAATTAGTTTTGGGGTAGATCTTCAATCTTCTTACTTGATATTGTTATTGCCTCCCTTTGATTTCTAGAAGTTTGCAACTTTGAATTCTAGGTTGAATTCTACTTCAATTGTGGTCTTTAGATTTGTATTTATCGTATTTTGAAGTATTGGATGAATTAGGGTTAGATTGGACCAAGAAAGGAGTCCAAAAAATTCGAAACTCTGTTTTCTCGCTGGACTGCACTGCGGCGTCACGATGCTACTGAATTTTAGCAAGACGGGTGTTGCGGTGCTCATTTAGGGTGGAAAAAAGCACGAGATAATAACCCAAAGGGTCATTGAACTTTGCAAAATGTTTTCACGAGGTCATTGAACTTTAAAAATCATCCAAGTCATCACTAAACTTTGCAAAAGATTTTCACGGGTCATTGAACTTTAAAAATCACCCCATTATAGACTTTTCAAAAAAAAAAAATCACAGGATCACTAAACTTTGCAAAATATTTTCCTAGGATATCATTGAATTAATGACCCCTGGAAAACCTTTTGCAAAATTTAATGATGAATTTGATAATTTTTAAAATTTAGTGATCTTGTGAAAACTTTTTGTAAAATTTAGTGATGATTTGGGTAATTTTTAAAGTTCAGTGGCCCCGCAGAAACTTTTTGCAAAATTCAGCAACCATTTGGGTTATTATCTCAGAAAAGCACTACGCATCTTTTAATATTTTTAATATAACTTCTTCTTCTAATATCCAATTGAGGCGATTCAAAAGGCATTGAAAAGCTAACTCAAAATGGCTACGACTTTGTTTTAGATATTGTTTTCCAATTTAAAGGTTTTCTATATTGGAAATAGGTCTAAATATGAGATTAAAAATTCGGAGCATAACTTTTCTGGTTGTGTGATCATACTTTGTCTACATTTCATCCTTTTGGCTTTTTATTTTTTTTTATTTTTATCCAATTGACTCGTAGCACTCTCAAATATTCACTATGAGGTCCCACACAACTTTCAAGTATTTACATTTTAGTCCCCAAAAGTTGGATCTCTTACAATTTAATCCCTTTTTCAATTTTGTCAACTTTTGCTTATTTCCTTCAATTTCATCAACTTATATCACAACATTAAAACATATTGAAATTCTCTAATACTCATAAGAATTAACTAAATATCAAGTTTAGATGATGTCTAAAATATGAGTGAAATATACTCATCAAATACTCCCAAACTCAATAATTTACTAGACATCGAGCAAACACTAAACAAAAAAAGTAACTAACTAACAATCACTTAAACAAGCAAATTTAAAAAAGAAAATACATAAAAAAAAATTTAGTTAGATGGTTTTCCTTCATAGATCATGATTGAAAATATAATTTCAATTATGAACCACATCAAAACTATAATGCAAAAGCTAAAATCTCACATGTTCAAAGCAGAACAAGTGTGTATAAAAAGTTAAGTGTAACGCTGTACATTAATAAGTTGATCCAATTCCCGATCTTAAAAGTTAACTATTTACTTACTTAGCTCGTAGGATTCACATACTCCCAAATTTATTTTCTTCTCACTTCTCGAGGTGTATTTTAAAGTTGATTTTCATTATTGATCTCTTACACTATTCAAGTTTGGTTAGATTTTACTAATTGCAATTCAACATATCAACAAATAAGGATTCTCTTTGTTTTTTACTGCATCAACCCCCAAGAATCAACAAGTTACTGGCCTATTATCAAAGGTTTAATTCTCTAAAATAAGTGTTTAGGGCTTAATTAAGGTGTATACATACATACATACATACATACATACATAATATATTTTTTAATTAATCTTATACTTGGATGTCTCTCCATTAAACTTTCTAAATGAACCCTATAACGAGCTTTGTGTTGATGACTCTCAAGTCAGATAACTTTAGAGTACCATGTTTTAAACTATTGCAGGCTTAATTAATTGAGTCATAAAGACTACGAAAAGACGTTTCACAATGAGATTATTATAGTTGTCCTCATTAGGATATTTTAGGGGAGCTTCACAACAATGTAATTTTTTCCCCTTCTATGCTGATTAATGCAATGTTCCTTGTTAAATACTAATTCTCAAAAATCGATCACTAACTTAATGTTTTCACCTAATTTTTCATTATATTGGCCTCAGATAGTCCACACAAAATTCGCATTTATGAAATCCACATTTATCTCCAAGTTTTCCTACAATGACTCAATCATCCAAATATCATTACTATATAAAAAGGGTAATGTTAGTTTACTGTAGAAAGAACAGTAGGTTCTTCCATTTTCACACACTGTAGCAAATTTTTTTTTTCATCTCTCAAGCAAAAACGACGCCGTCTGTAAACAAACAAAAAAGAACGCCGTCTACAGTGAAACCCACTTGTCCTCAATTTAGGTGATCTTTCTTTCTTCTTCTCCATTTTCAGATGCTACCTGTTCTCTCCATTTTACCACGCAAATTATTTGTTGTATATTTTGTATGAATTGATTGAGGTCTTATTGTTCCGAATTTTAGTTCTTATTGTTGTTTTTTTATTGAAATTTGTGGACGGCAGTTCAATTTCATTTAA